TACGTGCCATTTCTTACATCATGAGTGTGTGACCTAGGTAATCTGCTTCAAAATATTACCATGTATCTCATTCAACCAACCTTAAAAATATTACCATGTTTCTCATTCAACCATCCTCAAATATATTACCATGTTTCTCATTCAACCAACCTTAAAAATATTACCTTGTATCTCATTCAACCATCCTCAAATATATTACCATGTATGTCATTCAAGGCCTCAGAAATATTACCATGTATCTCATTCAAACATCCTCAAATATATTACTATGTATCTCATTCAACCATCCTCAAATATATTACCATGTATCTCATTCAAGGCTTCAGATATATTACCATGTATCTCATTCAACTATCCTCAGATATTGTAACGGATCACCTGGCACCCCGACTGGGTACCTCCGTTGAAGGATGTTCCTAGCGCCTCCTGAGGGCTCCAAGCACTAAAGTAGACACCATAACCACCGTAGACTCTTCAGAGAGAAAAACAAGGAACAAGCTCTGACAAGAGCTTAGTAGTGCTATAGCAAGAGAGTATGACTAGCATAGCAATCCCTTGTAGAAGATTCCCCCAATAAGAGACAGAACTCCAAATTGAGGGGGAAGTAGAACTGAAGTTTTAATGGAACACTCTGCTTTTATGCACATTTTACACACATAGTACCGCCCACAGGGTTTAGAAGAACAACCAATCAAAAACGTAATATATAGTAAAACACTCCAATTCATTCCCACAAAATCCTCCCTCGGCATGTGTAAAAAGTATATTTTTCCTGCCTGTGATAATTACATTAACCTATTGTGTACAGTAATTATCACAGGCAGGAAAATTATACATTTACACATGCACTGTAACTTTAAAACTATACATCCAATCTTCACAAATCACATATTTTTACTCAGCATACTTCAAATATGAACACTCTCAAAAATAATACTAATCCCTCCAGTAGATAAAAAGTTAGTCGGAAGTCCTTTGTGACCGACCGCAAGCACATTTTCATGCCCAAAACAGTTCCAGAGATTCAGGCTGTGCGGCCGGTCTGTTTCCCATGTTAAAGTCAGTTCAAACAGACTAATGACAACCATTCAAATTGTCGAGTGAACTGTCGAACGGCGTTCGAATTGTCGCCATGTGTTCGACTGTATGAACGGCGGCCACCCAGTGGTCGGCAATTTACCTACAGCAGGCTCCCAGCCTGGGTGGTCCGCTTGTGTGGTACTTGGTTCAGCGAGCCCCATTTACTAAACCAAGTGGGAGAAAGCCATGCACAAAGGATTTTTAAGGTTTGGGGACATTGTCTTAAAGGGGAATTGTCACACAAAGTCTCAATATGTCCCCAGCACGGTCCAATTCAAGACCATAAGCTCAAATGCAGTTCTTAAAGGGCCATACACAGTCCAATAGAAGTCCATAAGCCCGAAGACTGTTGTTAAAGGGCACAATCTCCCAGAGGCCATAGTCAGAAGGTAGAAGGCGGGCAAACAGGCCCCTCCAACAACCAGTGGCGAGGTCACTTTCACCACAGATATATTAACATGTATCTCATTCAACCAACCTCAGATATATTACCATGTATCTCATTCAACCATCCTCAAATCTATTACCATCTATCTCATTCAACCATCCACAAATATATTACCATGTATTTCATTCAACCATCCTCAGAAATATTACCATGTATCTCATTCAATCAACCACAGATATATTACCATTTATCTCATTCAACCATCCTCAGAAATATTACCATGTATCTCATTTAACCAACCTATGAAATATTACCATGTTTCTCATTCAACCAACCTCTGAAATATTACCATGTATGATGTATCTCATTCAACCATCCTCAAATATATTACAATGTATGATGTATCTCATTCAACCAGCCTCAGAAATATTACCACGTATCTCATTCAATCATCCTCAGAAATATTACCATGTATTTCATTCAACCAACCACAGGTATATTACCATGTATCTCATTCAACCAACCTCAGAAATATTACCATTTATCTCATTCAACCAAACTCCAGTATATTACCATGTATCTCATTCAACCATCCTCAAATCTATTACATCTATCTCATTCAACCAACCACAAATATATTACCATGTATTTCATTTAACCACCTTCAGAAATATTACCATGTATCTCATTCAACCAACCTCTGAAATATTACCATGTTTCTCATTCAACCAACCTCTGAAATATTACCATGTTTCTCATTCAACCATCCTCAAATATATTACCATGTATGATGTATCTCATTTAATCATCCTCAGAAATATTTCCATGTATCTCATTCAACCAACCACAGGTATATTACTATGTATCTCATTCAACCAACCTCAGAAATATTACCATTTATCTCATTCAACCAACCTCCAGTATATTACCATGTATCTCATTCAACCACCCTCTGAAATATTACCATGTATCTCATTCAACCACCCTCAGAAATATTACCATGTATCTCATTCAACCAACCTCTGAAATATTATCATGTTTCTCATTCAACCATCCTCAAATATATTACCATGTATCTCCTTCAACCAACCTCAGAAATATTACCATGTATCTCATTCAACCATCCTCAGAAATATTACTATGTATCTCATTCAACCATCTTCAGAAATATTACCATGTATCTCATTCAACCAACCTCAGAAATATTAACACTTCATCGTTCTAATTGCTATACAGGGTGGTCAGCATTTGTCTGCATGAACACGTGGCGTGGCCATTTTGTTTATTCTCATGCACTCAGCGGTGATTGGTCATCAAACGCGTGGAACTATTTTCGGCTACCTTTTCCATGAAAGATAGACCGGCCGCACAGCCTGAATCTGTGGAATTGTTTTAGGCATGCAAACAGGCGTGCGGTCGGTCAAAGAGACTTATTCATATCTCCCAAACCCCTGAACGGATTCATGTGATTTTCGGATATGTTTGTCCTCTAGTTACGCTGGTTATAAAAATATAAAATTATAAGTTTTATTAATATCGGATGTATAATTATGGAGTTATAAAAATGTATAAAAAGTATGATTTTTAGCTTGGCGATAATTGATACAGTGATTAACTCAATTATCTCCCAAGCAGAGGGGAGGAATTCACTGTACTAAGTGGGAGTGATTATCTAATTTCCCCTACTCTATTGGTTGCAAAGTTTACAGTTTCCGTGCCCCACAAGGTCCACGTGGGTGGTAACCTTGTGGGGAAATGTGTATAAAAGCAGCAATAAAGCCTCAGTACACTCAGTTCTTCTTCACCCTCCATCTAGAGTCTTGTCTCTTATTGGGGTAACAGCTATACAGCTATCACACTAGCTCTTCTAAGAGCTCCTTCACTTGGATGACTACTGGATGCTAAGAATACCCCTCACTCATCGGGAGAAGGACGCCCTCCAGCGGTGGAAACCCCTCTACTCACCGGGGTAACCGCTACATTGGTGGCAGCGGTGGGATGGTCCTATCTTCGCAGAGGAGGTATTACACCCATGGAGAATCAGTATGAGAAACTGAAATGGCTAACGTTAAAGGATTTGCTGGAGAGCCGTGGGCATTCAGCATTTGACTAAGACATTAGTTACGACAACCCTAGCCTGGGATACCCCAGAAGAGTTTGGTAGAGAGACTAGGGCTGACCCCTCCCTCCATAAGTATAATTTTAGAGCAGAGGCAGGTCAGCCAGGTTCAGAAGGGGAAAAAATATGTATGGGAACAGGACAAGCTATATCGGGTGTCTGACACCCGTCACCCTGGGAACGCCCCTTTGCCGAAGCGCCAGTTGGTAGTTCAACAGAAATACCGACGGGAGCCTCTCCGAATTGGGCATGACATCCCCTTAGCAGGCCATTTGGGAATGACTCGCACCTCTCACTGAGTAACCCAGCACTTCTTTTGGCCGGGTGTCTCCACAGATGTGCGACATTATTGCCGGACCTGCGATGTTTGCCAGAGGGTTGGGAAGAGGGGGGATCACCCCAAGTTGAAGCTGCTATCCATGCCCATCATAGAAGAGCCCTTCAGTCGCATAGCAGTCGACTTGATAGGGCCCCTCAAACGGCCGAGTCCATCCGGTAAGTGATTTATACTTATCGTGGTGGACTATGCCACCCGCTATCCCGAAGCAGTCGCCCTATCCAATATTCAGGCAGACACCGTTGCCAATGCCTTGGTAGGGATATTCACCAGGGTGGGTTTCCCAAAGGAAATCCTCTCCAACAAATGGACCCAGTTCACCGCTGAACTGACTAACCAATTGTGGAAAGTCTGCCAGATCAAGTCACTACTTAGCTCCCCGTACCACCCCCAGACAAACGGCCTCTGTGAGCGTTTCAACGGTACCCTCAAGCAAGTGTCGAAAATGTTCACAGATGAATACCGTGACTGGGAACGGTTCCTGCCTCACCTCCTGTTTGCGTACAGAGAGGTGCCGCAGGAATCCACTGGGTTTTCTCCCTTTGAGCTGCTATATAGGCGAAGGGTGCCAGGCCCCCTAGACCTCATTAGGGAGCACTGGGAGGTAACCACGGAACAAAAGGGAGCCACCATCGTATCATATATAGTGCAACTCCGGGACCGCATGGAACAGCTTGCACAGATGGTTAAGGAAAACCTCCAGGTGGCCCAGGGATGGCAGAAGGTATGGTACGATCGGGGTGCTTGCCAATGGACGTTCCAAGTAGGATAGAAAGTCCTAGTGTTAAAACCTACTAAACATGATAAGTTGCAAGCAGCCTGGCAGGGCCCTTACAAGGTGGTAGACCAACTTTGCAATACCTATGTAATCGCCAGCGACAAAGACGAAAGGGTGCGTAAAGCATTCCACATTAATATGCTTAAAGAATATCAGGAAAGCCCAGAGGACATATTTTAACATCTGCGCACCAGCCACTGACGAACCAGACAGCTTACCATTATCCGACCTCTTGAATAGACAGCCCCAGACTAATCCCCTTAGTCAGATAAAGCTAGGGGACTGACTGATGGCCACAGAGAGGGAGCAGATAAACTGCTTAATAGCCAGTAAGAGCCGCACGTTCTCCCAAAAACCAGGGTTCACCACGCTAGCCACCCATAGGGCAACCCCCATATCGGATACCTGACGCCGTCAGAGCTGGTATGAGGGAAGAGATACAGGAAATGAGACTAGGAGTTATTGAGCCCTCCGATAGTCCCTGGGCATCCCCAGTAGTCCTGGTGCCGAAGAAGGATGGGACTACCCGGTTCTGCGTGGACTATCGGCGGCTAAATGACAAAACCGTGAGTTGATGAGTTATTGGATCGCATCGCAAGGGGATGATATCTGACCACCATCGACCTCTGTAAGGGGTACTTGCAGATTCCCCTGGCCGAGGAGGATATTCCCAAGTCAGCCTTTGTTACCCCGTTTGGCTTGTACCAATTTAGGGTCATGCCATTCGGGATGAAAAACGCCCCAGCCACGTTCCAACGCTTGGTGGATAGACTCCTTGATGGCTTTTGCTTGTGCATACCTGGATGACATTGCGATCTTAGCGAGTCCTGGGAGGAACACTTGAGGCATGTGGGGGCAATGCTGGATCAGATTCGGGCGGCTGGCCTGACTCTGAAACCAGACAAATGTCATATAGGCATGGCGGAAGTCCAGTATTTGGGACACCGGGTCGGGTGTGGACAGCAGCATCCAGAGCCTGCCAAGATAGAAGCTGTCGCTAACTGGCCCACACCCCGGACCAAGACCCAAGTCCTGGCTTTCCTGAGGACAGCGGGTTATTATAGATGCTTTGTATCAGACTACAGAGCCCTAGCTAAGCCCCTGACTGACCTTACATAAAGAACCTTCCCAGACAGGTCTCCTGCCTGTGAAACTGCTTTTCATGCCTTGAAAGATGCCCTTGTACAAACCCTTGTGTTGGCTGCCCCAGTCCCTAACAAACGTTTTATCATCCACACAGACGCTTCCATGTTCGGACTGGGGGCAGTTCTAATCCAAGTGGGAGAGGACAGAGGAGGGGACCCGGTCGCTTACATCAGCTGCAAACTATTGCCCCAAGAAGTGAGCTATGCAGCAGTTGAAAAGGAGTGTTTGGCTTTGGTGTGGGCACTGAAGAAGCTCACCCCCTACTTGTATGGGCGAGAATTCACATTAGTAATGGACCATAACCCCTTGGTTTGGTTAAACAGGGTGACTGGAGACAATGGACGGTTACTAGGATGGAGCCTTGCACTACAGCCCTATAATTTTAACATCGAGTACCGCCCCGGGAAACAAAACGGCAACGCCGATGGTCTGTCCTGCCAGACTGAACTCAGTACATAATCTGTTGTCCAGGCATCCACCAGTTGACCTAAAAAGGATCAAACCGGGTCTGCTGGAGTTTTCCACAAAGAGGGAGCCATGTAACAGATTCTCTGTCTTGGATCTGTAATTTGTGAACAGCCGTTCATTTGAACAATTCGTTTAATTGCCTGAGTTTTATGTTATAGTAAGGGCCGTTCGAATCACGAATTTTCCACTAAATACCCAACCACCCAGAACAGAAGTGTGGCACTCATTACCTCCCAGACTCGTGTAACACCTCAAAAACCGCGAACACTTCATCATTCTAATTGCTATACAGGGTGGTCGGCGTTCGTCTGAACGAACACACGGCAGTGGCCAATTTGTTTAGTCGAACGCACTGTAGCAGTACTTACCTTACCCGGGGCCGGCCGAGGTCCTCTCTTCCCGCCGCGAGCGGCTCTCGAATGAAGGCGGGCATGGACCGCGAGATGCGGTCACGTGTCCCGCCTAGCTCTAAGAGCGTGCCACACGTCTCCGGCACGCTCTTAAAGGGGCAGTGGGAGCCAAAAAATGGAATGTACTCCCATTGGCCCCTGTCATCCCACATTCCCCAGACACTCACATTTTGGGGGCGTGAATATGACAGGGGCCAATCAAAGTATTTATACTTATCTCTCCCTTAACTCCCTGCCCTATCGTGGTTTCTGTTTCAGTTCCCTTTAGCGCTTGTTGTGTTCAGTTGTGATTTTCGTGCTTGACCTTGGCTTTGTCTCTGACACCGTTTATCTCTCTATCCCTGTTTTGTCTTGTTTGCTGGCTTACTGACTACTGTGTACCAGACCTTGGCTAGTTTTTGTTCTCGCAGTCTCTTTGTTCCCTTGACCTCGGCTTGTTCTTGACTCTGTCTATTCTCTGCTATATGGCGAGTCCGGCCATTCTAAGGTCCGGTAAGTCGTATCTGCTCTATCTGTCGATTGGTGGACTAAATCTTGCGTGTAGGGGTAAACTACCGTGACACGCACTCAGCGGTGTTTGGTCATCAAACGCGTGGAACTATTTTCGGCTACCTATTCCACGAACACCACTGAAACTTCTACCTCCCGTGCGTTTGGCTAAACTCATGCGAAAAGAGAATTATTTCTAATGAATAAACTCTTGAACATCCGCATCTAAAGATAGTAAGCACGAACCGATCCGTTCGGTGCAATTTGAACTTTATTCGAAAGGAAAGATAGACCGGCCGCACAGCCTGAATCTGTGGAACTATTTTGGGCATGCAAACAGGCGTGCGGTCGGTCAAAGAGACTTTATCATATCTCCCGAATCCCTGAACGGATTCATGTGATTTTTCAGATATGTCTGTCCTCTAGTTACGCTTGTTATAAAAATGTAAGTTTTATTAATATCAGATGTATAATCGTGGAGTTATAAAAATGTATAAAAAGTATGATTTTTAGCTTGGAGATAATTGAGTTGATACAGTAATTAACTCAATTATCTCCAAAGTAGAGAGGAGGAATTCACTGTACTAAGTGGGAGTGATTATCTAATTGCCACTACTCTATGGTTGCAAAGTTTGCAGTTTCAGTACCCCATAAGGTCCACGTGGGTGGTAAAAAAGAGGAGTGAGATAGCGCTAAGTAACTATAGGCAGCGACCTTAAAAGGGAATCCCTCAAACCCTTTAAAACAGAATACAATAAAAGGCTGCGCACAAAAGATAAATAAAGTCCAATTAGAGTAAAATAAAATAAAATAAGTCCAAATGGTTTTTTCTTACTGATGTCCTTGTTTGGTGAGGTCTTCTATTTTTGTGATGATTTCACTTAATAAAAGATAAAAAAGAGAAGACAAGGGGACATCCAATGGTGTAGTATGTAGAATTCAAGTCTTAGAGATAAAAATTATAATAGTAAAAAACTCACATTTACCAGAGCTATTGTCCAGCTCTAGGAGTTAAGCGTGTACAGCGGTTTAATCCCCGCTTATGGGATATAGGGCAGGTTCCTCTCCGTGAATGGTATCCAATTCTCAGGATAAAACAAACAGCCAATAGTGCTCACTGTATGGCGAATAATAATTAAATAATAAAAGAAATGTACTTACAAAGTAGGAGCAGACACACTGCTCTTTGGTGACAGCTTGGGTGGATTGATCCCCACCTACGGATTTCTTTGGGTACAGGAAACTTCCAGGAATTTTTAAGGTTTTTTTTAAAACCAGTTAAAAAAAGAAGGTATTTAAAATAACAATAAAAGGGCCAGGGTAAATGAGAAGAGTATGTGTCTTATAAAAAAGATAATTGGCAAAAACAAATGACCAATAATACTTTAATATATATAAAAACACAATATTTAAATATCCATAACGCGTTTCGTCACAAAAGGACTTTTTCAAATGGAATAACATAGTTTACCTGGCACATAGATGTTATATAGGAGCACAATTAGTTGAAATTTGGCGCCAAAACTTAGTTCAGCCAATCAACAATAAGAGCATATATACAACTTTAAATTTCGAAAATAACATAATAAGCTTAAACTTTATAACAATGCAGCTTGATTACAGTACTTTAAAATCAAAAACGAGGGTGGGAAAGGGTAATTTTAAAAGTTTTAAAAGATTTAAAAGAATCACGTGACCGGCGGCACTTCCGCATTTCGGAGGTGCTGCCGCAATGATTTGTGGGAAATGTAGTTGGTGTATATGCCGCGAATGGCGGCCGTTCAAAACTTAGTTCTTTTTTCTTTTGGGGCCACTTTATTGCAGCACAATTCCATATAAGTTTTTTTTAAAACAAAACGAAGGGGCTGGCTCTCTAATTTAGATATTAAAAAAATGGTCACATGGTTTTTCGGCTAGCATAGCCGAAATGCTTATTGGGAAATGTAGTTGAATGGGAACATGGTAAATACACAAAAGATAAAAGGAGCTAAATAAAGATAAAATCTATCTTATATTAAGATGCAATTTAAAGGAACAGATGGATAAAATATAATAATAAAAGTTAAACTGGTAAAAGAGAATAGTAATAAAACCATAGTTAAAGGTACAGACACCAGATAACTTAAGATTCATAGAAAATTATATAAGTCAAAGTCTGCATTGAGGCCATGGGGTATAAGAGTCTGAAGTTTATACACCCATTCCATCTCTGTTTTTCCAAGTAGTTTTTTTATATCACCTCCCCGCCAGGAGGTGGAACATTTTTTATACCAATACATTTTAATAGACGGGGATCTTTGTTGTGCATAATAAAATGTTTGGATACTGTGTGGTTTAGGTATCCATTTCTAATATTTCTGCAATGTTCGCTCAGTCTTATCTTTAGGCACCTTGTGGTCATCCCCACATATTGGAGGCCACATGGGCATTCGAGCAGATAAATAACATTTTTCGTGTGGCAGCTTATGAAGTCATAAATATCATACACTTTTTTGGTTTGATTTGACATAAATTTTGTAATTTTTGGTAAGATGACATGATCCACAGTTTTACATACAATGCATTGTTTACATCTAAAAAAACCTTTCGTCTGAGGAAAAAATGATAGATTTTTTGGAGGAGATTTTTTAGTAAAATTTGTGGTTAAGATAGATTTAAAATTTGGTGCTCCTCTAAAAACAATATTTGGATGAGTAGGTATAATAGAATTAAGTATCTCATCATGTTTAAGTATGTGCCAATGTTTTCTTATTATTTTTTTGACGTCATTACTTTTATTATTGAAATTAAAAATAACTGGAAGTGATATAGTTTCATTGTTTTCTTTATTTTTATATACCAAGAGTTCTTTTCGTTCTTTTTGTTTGACTGTGTTGATTGTGGTATTCAGATCTTGTTCTGAATATTTTTTTTCCAATAAATTTATTTTTTAAAAACTCTGCTTGTTCATTAAAATCTGTGAGTTCTGAGCAGTTTCTACGGAGGCGTAGAAACTGACTTTTCGGAGCACTCTCTAGCCACGGCTTATAGTGACAACTAGATCTGTCTATAGCCGTGTTTACACATACTTTTTTAAAGAAAGTTTTTGTTTGGAGTAGTCCATTATTAATAAAAATACTTAGATCTAAAAAGTTGATTGTTTGTTTACTAAATTCGTGTGTAAGAATAATACCCCTATTGTTGGTATTTAAATGATTAATAAAATCCATAAGAGATTTTTCAGGTCCATCCCAGATAAAAAAGAGGTCATCTATATATCTAAAATAGGAGACTAGGTTTGCCCGCCAGGTATGATTGCCCCATATGGCTTCGTTTTCCCAATCAGCCATAAACAGATTGGCATAACTAGGGGCAAACCTAGTCCCCATAGCTGTACCTCTTTTTTGCAAATAAAAAGAATCCAAAAACCAAAAATAATTGTTATTTAAAATAATATTGATACCTTCTATTATAAAATCAATTTGAATGTTAGGAATCCTAGCTTCTTGGGTTAAAATTTCTTTTACAGCTTGACAACCAATGTCATGGGGGATAATGGTGTAAAGGGACTGGACATCACATGTGACTAATATAAAATTCTTATTCCAAGTAAAATCATTTAAAAATTTTAAAAGTGACATGGAGTCTTTTAAATATGATTTCATAAGTTTAACCGAAGGTTGGAGAAGGGTATCTATATATTGGGAAAGATTACTTAAAAGTGAGCCTATCCCAGAAACGATTGGTCTTCCTGGGGGGTATTGTTCATTTTTATGAATTTTGGGAAGAAAGTAGATGACAGGGGTAATTGGATATTCTTTGTTTAGAAAGTTATATTCATGCTTATTTAAAATTTTTAAATCTAGACCTTTGTTAAGGAAATTAAGTAAAATAGTTTGGATATTTTTAATCGGATCGATTGGAAGTTGTTCGTAAACATTTCGGTCTTTTAATTGCTTATGAGCTTCATCTATATACATTTTACTAGACTGAATAACTACTCCTCCCCCCTTGTCAGCTGGTTTTATGACAATATCTCGATCTTTTTGGAGTTCTTTAATAGCTTGTCTTTCACAATTTGTGAGGTTATTGGGGTCATATTTTTTGTATTTAATTTTTTCTAGATCTTTAACAACAAGTTTTTCAAATAAAACCAAAGGAGCTGATTTAAAATGGGATGGATAAAATTTAGATTTTTCTCTAAGATTTGTGTTTAAAAAATTGGGTGTCTCTGAAAGGGAGGGTGAAATAGATGGGACAGGTTCTTCATCGTTTTTACTCATAAAAAATCTTTTCAGTGTGGCCTTTCTAACAAATTTGTTTACATCGAGAAAGGCTTGAAATGAATTAAAAGAAGAAGTGGGGGCAAATTTGAGACCTTTGCTTAAAACGGATAGTTGTGCAGCTGATAAAACTTTTTGGGATAAATTAAAAATGCCATTATAAGAATTAGTAGAGGGTGTTATTGTCTTTCCAATCTTTCTCTTTTGTTCCCTTCTTCCGCTTCGTCTTCCTCTAGGTTTAAAGTTCTTTTTTGGGAGCGTGATGGGTATGGTGTCTGGGCTAGCGCAGGTTGGTGAGTGCGTATCTCTAAAAAATGATCCTCGTTATCAAAATCAGAGTCGACTGATAATAGTTGGTATCTGTTGGTATGGTTGGGAATAGTGGGTGATTTTGAGTAATTGGCATACTCATTGTGTTCGTTTGTGTACCTGGATCTTTGTGGTTTTGGTGAGAAATGGAAACCAGAGGAATTTTGATATTTAGGTGATTGAGGTATAGAGTTATAATTAGCGTGGGGAAATTTTCTTTGTTTGTATGAGGGTAGTGGATATATATTCCTTTTATTTTGATAAGGTGATTTAGAAGGGGCGTGATTTTGGTGAGAGGACGTATATTGTGGTCTTATTGTGGACGGGGATTGGTGATAGGGTCTTCGTGTGGCAAAATTACGATATTTGGAAGGTGGTTGGTATGTTACATTATTGTGAGGATGAGAATCATTATACACATGGTTTTGATAATTAGGTCTGGGAGGATAATTTTCTGAAGTGTACTTTTTTTTAAAGTGATAAGTTCTTACTTGTTTACTAGAATAATCAGTTTTGTCTCTAATATATTTTTTAATTTTCAAATGTTTTTGGTCGACTTCAACTTTTTCAATTTTATTCTGAATTAGTACGGAATTTTGTTTATAAGCCTTAGTTTCAGTAAATGGTAAGAGTTTCTCTCGGAGATCATTTATTTCAATATCTAAAATAGATAGTTTTTTGCTTTTTTTGATTATTAGTGTCTCCATTAAGCCAAAAGTACATAGTTCTAGTTTACTATTCCATTCTTCCATGAACTCAAGATCATCTTGGTCAGAGGTGGGCAATTTAAGAAGTCTTAAACCCCGAGGAGTAATTTGTTCGTCTATGTATTTTTTAAAAGTGGCAATTTCCCATTTAAGTTTAATCTCTGTAGTTAAGGCTCTTTCTAATTTCATAAATAGATCTTGTTGGTTAGAGTAATGGGGAGTTATTTGTATAGAATTGATTGCCTCTGTATTAAATACATTATTAACATCAATTGTATATTTATTTCTGAATTCAAAGATAGACATTTTTTTAGAAAGTTAAAAAGCAGCTATCCCAAAAAGGGAATTTGAAGAACTAATGGTAAAAAAGAGGAGTGAGATAGCGCTAAGTAACTATAGGCAGCGACCTTAAAAGGGAATCCCTCAAACCCTTTAAAACAGAATACAATAAAAACAATAAAAGGCTGCGCACAAAAGATAAATAAAGTCCAATTAGAGTAAAATAAAATAAAATAAGTCCAAATGGTTTTTTCTTACTGATGTC